CTCACACTGCTGATGATACTGACGCATCAGAGCGGGAAACCCAAACTGCTTGCCCTCAAAGACAACCCAGTTCCGAGACCGCCAGATCCGTCAAAGTACCCCCAACAATTGCCATGAATAACGGAGGCTGGTGTATTAAAGCCATCATTTTCTTGAGAAGCAGCGGGAACGTGTGCCGAGGCAATCCTTCACCCACATAATCCAACCCTGCCAACTCCCACAGCGCCCTAGCCACCGGGCAATCGAGAAACAGATGCTCCATCGATTCGGAGCCCTCCCTGCAGACGGGGCACCGAGGAGAGACAGATACGTGCTTACCAATCAGGGCCTCAGTAGTTGGGAGGATTCGATTAAAAATCTGCCAGACAAAGACTTTCAGCTTAGGCGGAATATTCGCCTCCCAAAGTCGAATCCAACTAGTCTTATACATCCAACTGACCGTGGCCTTCCATCTATCACCGCGCTTATCCAAAGCTACCGCCAAATGATAGGCCGATTTGACAGTAAAAACCCCATCAGGTGTCCCATGCCAAATTAATTTATCCTCCACATACTGACGAGGGAGAGGAATTTGAAGAATGGCCCGACAAGTCTGAGGGTCAAACCACTGGCTTAGCTTCTGGGCATCCCAACGGCCTTCCCCCTGAACAATGAACTCAGCAACCCTAGGCTCCCCCTCCGCAGGCAAGACCATGGGATTATAAACAGGGGAATCTGGCTGAATTAAAGGAATCCAATTGGAATGCAACAAGGAAACCGAGTGACCATTACCAATTTGCCACCTGAGCCCTCTTTCTAACAGCTGGCGACCAAACAGAATGCTTTGCCATCCCCAAGACGGACGAGATCGGGCAGTTGCTGATAAAAACGTCCCAGTTGGGAAATATTTACCTTTGTACACCTGGGCGAGAAGAGAGGTTGGCTCAGCAAGGATACGCCACCCAATTTTGGCAAGAAGCGCTTGGTTAAACTGCTCAAACCGCCTGAACCCCATTCCCCCCTCATGCTTACTTTTACACATATCTCGCCAGGACATCCACCGAATTCGATGATGACCCTCATCATCCCCCCACCAAAACCTCGCCACATGCTTATCCAAAAGACGGCAAAGGGACACAGGAAGCTTGAAACAGGACATGACATGCAGTGGCAGGGCCAAAGCAATTGACTTAATTAGCGTTTCCTTAGCAGCCCATGATAGTGTCCGCTGCTTCCAACCCTGGAGCCGATCCAACAATTTCTCCTCCAAGTATCGGAAAGTTGCCATTTTGGATCTGGCGAAAAGCGTCGGGAGCCCCAAATACTTGTCATGAACCCCAACCGCGCCAACCCCCAGAATTGCAACCAGGAATTCTTGATCAGCCCGAACAATGTTTTTACTGAAGCAGACTGCCGATTTAGCCAGATTCACCTTTTGTCCACTCAGTTCCTCATATTCGTTCAAGACCACAATCAAGTTCTCGCACTCCTGAAGCGTTCCTCTAAGGAATAAATACGAATCATCAGCAAAAAACAAGTGCGAGATCCGAGGGGCACGAGGAGCCACTTTGACACCCTCTAACCTCTTCTCAGTAATCGCCTTTCGCAGGAGGGCTGAAAAGCCTTCAGAACAAATCACAAAGAGGAGCGGGGAGAGGGGGTCCCCTTGTCTGAGCCCTCTAGACGGGGAAAAGAATCCGGAAGGTGTAACATTCATCAGAACCGAGAAAGACGAAGATTTAAGACATTCGAGGACCCATCCTTGCCAGACGGAGTTGAAACCCATTTTATCCAACACAGCGAGAAGAAAGGGCCATTCAACCCTGTCATAGGCCTTTTTCATGTCAACCTTCAGGACCATGTACCCTTTCTTCCCTCGCGTTTTGATCTTCAAATAGTGCATTAACTCGTGGCCCAGGAGGATATTATCCACAATCTGGCGATCCCTGATGAAGGCATTCTGTCCATCCAAAATGATCTGAGGCAGGATGCGAGCTAGCCGTTCAGCCATGATCTTAGCTATAATTTTATAGACAAATTGGCACAAGTTGATTGGCCGCAACTGTCGCATATTTTCCACCTTATCCACCTTAGGGATCAGCGTGAGCCAGGTATGGTTGAAACTACGCAGCATCCTACTTGTCTCAAAGAAGGAACATACGGCATCGACAACCGACTCCCCCACAACATCCCAAAAGGCTTTAAAGAACTTCCCAGTAAACCCATCCGACCCAGGGGCCTGTTTAGAGCCCATAGCAAACACCGTTCTACGCACTTCAACAGGAAGCACCTCAGCCGTCAGACTATCATTCATCTCCGGCGTAACATTATGCACAATTGGCAAAGCAGCCACTCGCTCTGCCATGTTTTCGATATGGTTCTTCGAGGAGAAAAGCTGCTGATAAAAGGAAGTCGCCACACCGGCCTTCCCTGGCTCATCTGTTACACATTCCCCATCCTCACTCCGGAGACCTTCCACAAAGTTTTTTCTACGCCGGGTTCTAGTGACCGTATGAAAATACGAAGTATTTTTGTCTCCTTTCTTTAGCCAGTGAACCCTGGACTTTTGTTGCCAGTAAACTTCCTCTGCTTCCCACTGCCGATTCAACTCCATTTCTAATTCCCGAATGGAATCCCAGTCAATTGGAACGGAGGCCTTGATTCGCTCAATTTCACTCTGGAGCGTTTTAATATTCCGGAGCGAGTTTGTAGTTCCCGCTCTACTCCAGTCATATAACAGGTGGCGCAGCCTTTTCAGACGCTCCCACAGGCGAAACAGAGGCGTATCCTGGATGTCCTCTTTCCAGACATAGTTAACCACAGCCATAACCTCCGGATTTTCTGCCCATCGGGCATCAAAACGAAAGAGAGGATGGCAATTTCTAGCGTAGGGCCGATCAGAGAGTAAGAGAGCTCTGTGATCAGAGCCCTGATCCGTAAAATGCTTAACCAAAGTCTCGGGAAATCAGTCCATCCAAGTCTGGGAGCAAAGAGCCCTATCCAAACGTTCACGAATGCAAGCAGCACCCATCCTTCTATTAGTCCAGGTGAATTGATCACCCATGAAACCAGGGTCATGGAGACCCAGCTCATGCACAAGATCTCGCAGACTACTTGATCGCGAAGCGTTCCACGGGTTACCTCCATCCTTTTCACTCGCATGGAGAATGGCATTAAAATCACCAATCACAACAAAGGGAAGGTGGAAGCCAGAGCAAATTTCCTGGAGCTGAGCCAATTGGGAGGCTCGAATCTCCGAATGACAGCTCAAATAAACAGAAACAACAATATAAGAAAAATCCACTTCATTAATCCGGGAACAGATACAAAAATTGGAATGGAAAAACAATGAAGCATCAACTCCGGACCAAGCTACTACTAACCCACCCGATGCATCAATCGCATCAACGAAAAAACAATTGGAAAGAACAAAGCCTAAGCCCCGCATACGACGGGAGACAACACGCCGACTCGAACGAGTTTCCGAAAAGAACACAAGATCAGGATTATTGGAGCGGACGAGACCAATAGCAGTTTGGAACGTGAGGGACGGCCCAATTCCTCTCACGTTCCAGGCGATCATCCTCATTTATTCGATTGGGGCCAATTTAGGCTGGCTTCCTCCACCTGATCCAGATTATCCGCAATTTCCACAAATTGTTTTTTCGGCGTGGGGTTATCCCCCAAATCTCCCTCCATCTCCTCAAGCGGGTGTTTACGCGACCCAATTTCTGGGTTTGCTAAGTTCGATCCATACTCATTTAGCTCCGACTTCTCTTGATGGATTTCCTCCTTGTCATCCTGCCCAATCACCACCTCCCCAACCTGGGTCTTCGATTTAAGAAGCACATCAGAGTTGATGGAAAGCCCTGCTTCAAAAGCGGCTACTACTTGGCATACACGTCCCTTTGTCGTAGCACCGGTTTCTTTTAGCCTAGAGGAGGGGATCCGCTTTTTGATTTCAAAGCATTGGGGCTCCTCCTCAGTATCCGAATCATCAGACACTAGAGCCCTCACCACTTCTTTATTCGGGCCAGATGTAAAATTTTGGACTGATGGGCCATGAATACCCACGTGGGGTGACTACTCCGGCCGTCCCTTCCTATCTCTCGCTGGGCCTCTGGCCTGATGTGGAGAATCCCCCAATTTGGGCCCAGCCTTCCTCAACTTCCCCCTCCTGCCACTCTGGGCCGGCTTATTCACTTTATGGGTTGCCCCTTCATCCAGAATATGCCCATCCGTTCTTGAGGGGAGAGTGCCGCCACCATGTGAGCTCGACTTCTTCCCCTGAATTTTTTGAACAACAGGGTGGCCTCCCCGCCCTTTCACCTCCACTTCCCTGGGACCTTCGGCCGGCTTCCCTCCCTCGCCGTTCCTTTGCACTTGAATCGGGATATCAATACATTGAACACTAAACTCATCCTCCGATTCATCCTCAAGAATGAGTCGTCGATGGCGAGCTAGTTTCAGCTCATCTTGACTGCTGGCCGCCACTGGATTAGAAGCCGCCGGATCCTTTCTTTGGCGCGATTCCCGCTGCCTCGGTGGCTGTTTCCTCTCAGCGGCCCTGATGCCAGTTTTGCGGGGGTTGTTGCTTTTTCCCGGACACTCCACTTATTTTTATCACCGGAAACGTATTGACATCACTTAAACAACAAATCAAGCGTAGAGAAAAAAAAATGTTTGTAATAATTCTCAAATTGTAAGACTATGTTTTTGGCTTACCTTACAAACATTCACCACCGGTATGAATGACTAACTGCTCTCTCGCCCGCCGCGAGGAGTGGTTAGTAAAGCAGCCATTCCCAAATTACCTCTTTGATTTCCAAGTGCAAAGCCTATAGCTTTCATTGAGTGACTAGACAAATTTAAGCAAACAAACATAAGATGCCCCCAATTAGGAGCATAATCTCAATCATTAATCTGATAATGTTCGGTGAATGATTGGATTGAAAAATGAAAATAAAAAGGATACGAATGATTGAAATCTGAAGTACTGTGCTGTTGTTTGTAATTGTGCGTTCAAAATAATTAATAATAATAATAATAATTCAATGGCCTTCTCTTCAGTCTTCTCTCTATTCCCTTACCCCACTCCACTTACCCTTCACGTCAACGAACTGTACCGTTATTTTCACAGTACCAAAAAGCCCCTTCCACACACACTCTCTCTCTCTCTCTCTCTCTACATATCACATCCTATCCTTCCACACACTCTCTCTCTAACCCCCCAAAGGTTTCTTTCTTCCACCCCTTTTCCTTCCTTCACAGCTCGAAACGTTGCTTTCCCTTCACTTCAATTGGGCTCACTTCATCTTCCTCCCAATCTCCTTCACAGCCACAGAAGATAACTCGTAACTCCGTCGCCGGCGAACACCGGCCGGCGTCCGTAAGCTGTTTAACGAGGAGAGCTAGCTGGTGCTGTTTTTGCCTTAACCTGAATTGCTAGTTGAACGTGGAGCGGAGTGGGAGGGATTTTTTTTCTCTCTCTCCACAGTAGAGTTGACTAATTGGATTAATGGAGCCGCAATCAGGACCCGGAGCTAGATCCAGCCCCACCGCCGACGAGACGGCTCTCGATTCCGTCCAGTTCGGCGAGGATATCCGGCACCTAATCTCCGTGCCGACCGAGAACGCCAGCTCCTTCACCGCGCTTCTCGAATTGCCGCCCAATCAGGCCGTGGAGCTGCTCCACTCCCCTGAGTCAACCCGGCCCGATTCTTCCCAGCAGCAGCAGTACCAACCGCCGCAGCACTTCAATGCCGGCTTGCTCACCTTCCCGACCAACGCCGCCTTGATTGAGCGCGCCGCCAAGTTCTCCGTCTTCGCTGCGGAGGAGGATTTGAACAACAACAACAACGGTATTGCCTCGCCGGAGACCAACTCGGCGCCGTCGAATTCCAGTGCGGGTCTCGTCGTCAAGACCGAGCCGGCGGAGCCCGTGGCTTACCTTAATTCGTCGTCGGTGGCCTCCGACCCGACGGTGGCAACCAAGGACGAGAATCAGAGGCCGAACAACAAGAGGAAGGAGAGGGAGAAGAAGGTAGAAACGGAGGACAAAAAACCCCCCCACAAAAATTAGGGTTCCTAGGGTTTTGATTCCCCTCCTTTTGTTTAATTTTCCCGAGGAATCTTCAGTCTGCTAACCCCGCCAATCGGTCTCACCGCAGGGAAAAGGTTCCTCGAAGAAGAGCAAAAGCGCTGCAAACGAGAATTCCGAGCAGCTGCCGTACGTTCACGTCCGAGCTCGCCGTGGTCAAGCTACCGATAGCCACAGCTTGGCAGAGAGAGTAATCACACTAATCAAACAACTAATCATCCTTGTTAAGCTTTAATTAATTCGTGACCAGCCTTGCTAATGAATGCTCAAATACGTCCTTAAATACCCTGATTAGGCGAGGAGAGAGAAGATTAACGCAAGGATGAAGCTGCTACAAGAACTGGTCCCCGGCTGCAACAAGGTACCACTACTAGTACCACTCATTACTGAATTTTTTGTGTCGCAAGCACATCATCGTAATAATGAATAATCATTTGGGAAGAAGGATATTGAATGTGATTAGTCAATCATTTGGGTTTGGATTAGGGACTTGATTAAAGAAGTGTAGTTTGATTTGGTTGCCCTCACCTTTTAGCCCCAAAAAGTTGTGGGTCTTTGCTTTTCTACCAAGAAAAGTTGTGGGGAGCAATGATGGTGGTGGGCTGCCTCGTCATTTCTCCATCTCGTCACTGTGGTTCCCTTCTCTCCAAGACAGGTGTTTCAGAAGCCAGAGGTTCCTTTCCAGGGGTAGTTTTGTCATTTGTTATCCATTGATCAGAAGAAGCCAGTGTCTTAGCAAAGCGTTTAAAAAAAATCCAGGAAGACAGTAGGCCCTTGTGTTCGTGATACAGTGATGAGCCACTGGGATTGCACTGCAGATTTTGTCTCCCATTATTATAGTTGAATGTCTAGGAGTCTTAGAAGAGAATTGTTTATTTTTGAAGAAAAAAGGATGCTAGCTGGATATGGCTCAGCGAAGGACTAATATTCTGGTTGTGGTGGTGGATCAAATGTTTGGTCCCATCATCCAGCAGACGGTGAGAATTGTGTTCCTTCTAGGAAAGGTGCACCGTACCAGCTTTCTTTTGCAAGTTCGGCACCTGTCTCTGAGATTTTTAACATACTAGAAAATGAAAGGGAAAGAAAAGATGGAGACTTTTCTTTGTGATAAATTCATATGCCAAAAGTTCTGGACCCAATCGGCCAGGACCATGGTGTGATGGTTGATGAGAAAATTCATTTTATTTCTCTCATTAATGGTACATAGAGAGATATTAGTTACATAGATAATGGTGAATTACACCATCCGGAAAGTTAAATTTCCTCTCTTTTTTACACCCTCTTTTATGTCTTCTTGTTAAGCATTGTTCAGTTCTTGACTGTCCAAAATTATGTGTTATGGTAATGGCATTCTGAGCTTCCTGAGCATGGTTCGTTGTATGATAGATGGGGTTCACTGGTTTATTAATGTGTCATTGATGGGTTGAAATTTGCCGCAGCGATCAAGCTGTCTTGGGGGATGTTAAAATACATGTCATATGTCATATATGATAGCTATGGATTGATTTTCTCATTGATGCTTTATGAGCTCCCTGAAAATTGTTTTGCAATATACTCTCATATTTCAAGAACTTTGTGAATCTGGAACTAAGTGTACGAAGCTGTTCTTTATGCAGATCTCTGGTACAGCACTCGTACTAGATGAAATCATCAACCATGTCCAGTCTTTGCAACGGCAAGTGGAGGTCAGAACTGCATCCCTGTCATTACTTGTTAGGCATCTTAGTTATGGGATCTTGAGCCATTGTCCTTTTTCATTTTCTTAGAACTTGAGGATCTTAGTTTCCGCTGATCGTACAAGGCCTCTGCTTGAATCTTATGTCGACACACTTTGATACTTGTCTCAGGTCTTGTCCATGAAACTTGCTGCGGTTAACCCAAGAATAGATTTCAATCTGGACAATATGTTGGCTGCAGAAGTAAGTTCAGCTGCTACCTACTTCATTTGTGTTATGTTGGGGGTGAGCTAATAAGCTATGGTGTTTGTGTATCTCTGTAATCTCCAAAACGGTAGGCATATCTGGCTCTGTGGTAGTTGAAGTGATTCTCTTACATCAGGTAGATCACTGGAAATTGGATGGCTGCATTTTCATATAGCCATAGAGCGAAATCGAAAAGGCTAGTGAAATGATATATCCATTGTCACAACATGCCGGTCTGTCTCTCCTTTAGTCCATGTTTCCCGCCCTGCAAAGAACAGCCCATTAGGGAATGCCATGAATAATGTGTCGTTCCAATGTCCTTTAACGGAGTTGCTGTTTGATAATTGTATTAACTTGTATGCTTGTCAGGGGAACTAGTACCTATGAGGCTATTCTCCAAGGACAACTGATTTACTTCTGTCCATTTGTCTATAAAATTCTTACACAATACTTTGTACAAAATGTTGCAGAGTGGATCTCTAATGGATAGCAACTTCCCAGCTGTGATGATGCCGATAATGTGGCCAGAAGTGCAACCAAATGGGAGCAGGCAACAATATCACCAGCAGCAATGGAACTTCGATGTGGTTCCCCAGCCTGCAGGAGGTGGTTGGGGAAGAGAAGATGGCCATAACTTCATCACCCCGGAGAACTCTCTCTTGAGTTACGTCTCCTCGGCAAATTCAGGTTTGCGACTTTTACGAGTACACAACAAATCCCCAATGCATCAAAGGGTCCTTCTTAGTTACACTGTCTTCTTCTTTTACTTGGGTTGCAGCATCTCTAAACTCGAGTCAATTGAAAATGGAGCTATGAAGCAGCAGTTATATAGTAGCTATAGCTAGCTAGCGGGTGTAAATATGAAGCAGTATTAGCAGTTAGCAGGGCAGGGAAAGTGATTAGAGGAAGGCCTCTCTCAACTATTCGAGGGTGGGGTTTCTGTCATTCATCTCTGGGGGCCGACCCCCAAGATTTCTCTCTTTCTCTCAATTGGAGGGTGAGAAATTGGCTTGGTGGTAGTAAAGCTATTTGCCACCACATGTTGATGATGATTGATGATAATGTTTAGTTGTCTGTCATATATAATATAGATGCATTATTGGAGGATTATACAGCAGTCCCCAACTTGAAGAAGTCATTCGATCAATTATAGTAGGATCGCTTTATTTGATTTGCGTATATAGATAAGAAATGTATTGTAGAAATATGATGGATAATACTGTACTCTCTTTCCCTTGAATTTAAGATGGAAATTCAGTAATTTTGGTTTGGTTCAGATTTCATGGTTCATTGTATTGTCTCCAGGTGCTTTTTATTTCTTCATTTTGGTTTACAACTACAACGTTCTAAGCTCATTCGGCAAACATGGTTTTCGAGAATTATAACAAATTTTTGATACTGTGTATTAACAATGTCGTTAGGCAAGCATATGGAGAAATGATTTTACTTGCGCGAATATAACAATTTGGGTGATATAGAGGGCATAATGTGGTGAATGTTGGTTATTGATGCCTGACGGGTATGAGTATCCTGTTACATTTTGTCCATGGGACATGTTGTTTCATTGAAGCTCACTCGATTGTTGGCCTGATGAGCCAAAGCAGTCGTCAATATGAAACAGAACAGAGACAGACTTAATAGAACTGAGCTCAGGCGTCAAAAGGACAGACTATCTAGTTAGCTAGCTACATATTTATTCCCTTAATAAGCATCCTGCTGCTGCAGCAGCACTCCTTCAATACGTGCTCTCATGGCTTCGGCGCTCGCGGTTTTATTGATGTAGAAGACCGTATCGCCACTGAAAGCCGTTTTCTCAGAAATCCATTCTGGAAGTAGTTCAGCCAATAGCTTAAGCTGCTCTTCCACCTCACCTGCCATAAACCAAAACCAACCCAGATCATCATCGTCGTCGTCATCAATTGTGTTATCTTTCTACCACCCTTTCACCCCAATTCCTAACAATCCACAACCCATTTTATCATTACCTTTGTCGACAACATCCAAGTGCTGTGCAATGATCTTGTGGATGACCTCCTCCTTTGTCATAACGGATCCCCTTCCAAACTGAAACAAGGATTGGACCGTGTTAAAGACCCTGGGTAAGCTCGCCATCATCTCTTGCTGGCACGGCCTCTCTGCTCCTTCTTCCTCATTATCATTCTCTCTGACCTGCAAGCAATTCCAGACAAATAATTTCACATCTTTACTGTTTGCTTTATGTTCTCAAACACAATTTTCTTCATGCTAATACTATTGAAGTTGGAAAAAATGGGGATGCTGATGAGCTTACCATCGTTGCAGGACTCTTCGGGACAGCAACATTGTTCTTGTCAGCAGACACATCATCGGGATTAGTGTCAAACTTCAGCGATCGAGTTCGTACTGGATGAGGCCTTGTCAGTTTGTTTGCTGAGGAGTATATAACATCATCGTTGTCACCTTCGTCATCACCAGGGGTCATATAGCATCTCCTTGGTGGACATGATGCCGCAGGTGTGGTTGTGCAAATGATGGACTCAGATGGACCAGCTGCTGATTCAATGTTTTTCGCCGGAGTTGCCATTGGTTGGTCTCCTTTAACTGTTACCTTGCTTGGAGTTGGAGGCAAGCAGCAAGGCTCAGACAGGTGCTCAGCCACACTAGCATCCCCCTCAATAGGAGAAGGCAACACCAACGCGGAACATCCAATTTCTATGCTGGTGATTGGCTCTAGAGAGCTGTCATTGCCATGGCTTCCTGCTTCAACTTTAACAGCTCTCCTGGATAAGCACCTACGGAAATCAGGCGGGAAATGGGATGCGGCCGCCACTGGTTTCAATTCATCAAGTGGAATAGCTGCAGTATCTACCAATGGCTCCTTAGCCGTCTCCACAACCATCTCATTGACTTGTTTCAACTGATTGAATGGATGTGGAAGCATTGCTTCTGGAACTTCAACATCCTGAATACAAACAAAAAAAGTACTCATCCTTAGAAAGAGTCTTCAAACCAGATACCAGATAAGTGGAAACAAAACTACACCACCAAAATCAAATGTACCTCAGGGTGATCTCTACAGAAATCCGCCAGCCGATTCCGAAAAGCTCCCCCCAATGCCATGTAAGGGCTGCTCTCCTCCAAGTTCAGTTCCGATGCAACAGAATCAAGATTCAGAGAGACACGAAGTTCAGGGATCATAGAGCCGGTTCGTTCATCGAACATGAGAGCTTTAGTTATCTCAATTGCCTCAGGGAAAATGTACTTCAACTGTGCCAAATTCCGATATGAGAACTCCTCTTTCGTCAAGGATTCAACCTTGGGGGAGATGTTTGTGAAAGAAGACTGCGAGCCCTTCAAGCCCAACAACCGGATTGAAGTGACCAAGCTGGTGAAACATTCCAGGAGAGCCTCTTGCCTACTGGGAAATCAAAAAAGAAATTGATTGGCAAAATCCTAATTAACGGGGAAAACCCTAATTTGAAGCAAAAAGGAGAAGCTAGGGTGTTTTTACATTTGGGGGATCGGAGTTGATATCTCGGCAGCGTCCGTATCTTCATCCCAAGACGAGGAGAGGTGTCTTCTGGCGGATTTGGTGTTGGAGTCTCCCGTGGCAGCGTATGTAGAGCGGCGATGGAGGTTACCGGCGTCGAGGATTCGGGTGCGGCGAGAGAGCGAGGCGGGTTGCTTATCGGGGGTTTGGGTGGTCGGGAGATTTGCCGGCGCCGGGTTGTGGGCCGATCCGAATGGTTTTTTTAGGGGTTCGGAATCGGGAGCGGGATGAGCAACACGAGGCTCGTCGGAGTTCATAGCTGGAGAGAGAGAGAGAGAGATTGGTACGGGGGCGGAGACGACTGCGCCGACGAGAAGAGAGATTGAGAGAGAGAGAGAGAGAGCGCGGCGGGGAGTGGAGCGTTAGGGCGGACCGAGAATTGAAGACAGGACTGGTTTTGCTTTATCTTTGACCGACGAAGATCCTGCACGTTGGTTCCCGCTGAATTGATCCGTTGGTTCCCGCCAAATCGAGCTCGGCCTTCTTGGTTAGACCTAATTTCGCCTTCTTCCTTTCTCGAATTATAATTCTCTTGATTTACTTTAAACAAGAGCCAGAGCAATTCAGTAACAAAACATCTCGGTTATATTATTTGAAATTATTGAACACCTTTGTTTCTATAGCGATATTTTTGGTGCACAAGAAAATATCAAAAGGTTGTTATTTCTCGTCAGTTGCCATCTCATTAGTTTTAATGAACCAATCGTCATCTCTCTTCTTTCGTTCTCTTGAACGAACTATGTCGAAGTGAACCATTCGTTTTAATATTGATACACCTCAAACATCTATATGATCATGAATCACTACTTGCTTCTACGCGATTCAAAAACGTTGACTCCCTCTCCAAATTACGTGAACAACCTATTAAAATGAGTTCCCGTAGTAATTTCAATGTTATCTTAACAACGAATTTGTTATGCGTTTTCAAAATTACTGATAGATGATAAAAAAAACTATGGTAGAGTTGAACACTCACTATGTTGAATTGTAGATAACAAATTGCCAATTCGCAAATGTTTGTATAGCGCAGGCGGAGAATGCATAAATAGGAGCACTGATAGTGAGAACCTGCAACGAAAAGTCAAAAAGCAGATCGTCACTCATTTGCTCGTCTCTCAGCTCAGATCCAAATCCCCGCCGCCGCCGCCGCGCCTCCGTCAAATGCCAACTCTACTCCTCTACTCCATCCTCCTCCATTTCCTCCACTCCCTCTCCGCCACGTCACCATCACCAATCCCTAGCACAATCCAGCTCCCCCGCCCGCTCTCCACGACCGGCGCCGTCTCCGTCACCGACTTCGGCGCCACCGGCGACGGAGCTCACTACGACACCCATGCCATCCAATCCGCAATCGACGCCTGCTCTCCCTCTTCCCCCTCCTCCTCCACCGGCGCCACCTGCTACGTGACCTTCCCGCCGGGGAAATACCTAACCGCGACCGTCCACCTGAGGTCGAATGTCGTCCTCGACATCCAGCCCGGCGCCGTCGTCCTCGGCGGGCCGAGGATCGAGGACTACCCGAAGGAATCGAGCAGGTGGTACGTGGTCCTGGCGGAGAACGCGACCGACGTCGGGATCACCGGCGGCGGGACTGTCGACGGGAACGGGCATTTGTTCGTGGAGAGGTTCAACAGCGTGAAGAACGTGATGGTGAGCTGGAACGCTACCGGAGATTGCTTGGGGGACGAGTGCCGCCCGCGATTGGTTGGATTCATCGGCTGCACGAACGTCCGCGTCTGGAATGTTACCTTCACCCAGCCTGCTTATTGGTGGTGAGTTAGTTCTCTTCTTCTTCGTCTGATCTTTGAATTGAACTCGTCACAGTAATCAGTGGATTCCTCTGCTATCTTAGCTGCAATTTGTTGAATTAGTTGCATCGATCTCAGGCCTTTGATTCCAGTTTTAGGTTAGAATTGGGAATTATCTGAGCTTCCCTTATCAGGATTGGTTCTAGGAAAGGGCGATAATTGAGCAAGTTGCCATCTTGCTGACCCGGGTGTGATAAGCTTATGTTAACGCCGTTGATCACACTTCTGTAAGATTTTAGTTGTTGGATAGTCTTTTATTACGGTTTTAATAGTAGCACCAATAATTTGATCGAAGTATTAAAAATATGCGTTATAACCAAGAACGTTAGTACGCTTTGATCAAATTCGTGAGCTTACGCTATATCGAATGCATAACGATAATAGACGGGGGACAAAGTAATGTTTGTTGCTTAGTGTTAATAGGAATCATTCGCTTAGGAAATGCTTTCTCACTTCTGAATGCGACATCTACCAGTTGCATTTTGTAAAAATGGGAACTCTATCCTATCCAAAAGAATGAATGCCAATAGCTTCACGCAATCACCTAGCTGCTTTAATTTGAAAAGATTTGTTGGAGATGAATGATGGGAAATATCTACAGCATAGTACGCTACCGTTTTAAGGTTTCAAAGAGTCATTGCAGTTTCTTGCTGTTGGATTGGATTGGATTGGATTGTACATATGGTGACCTGCAGATTGTACTGTTGCAGCTTCCACCTGGTAAGGTGCGACAACACTCTGATCCATGATATTGCCATATATGGCGACTTCAACACGCCTAACAATGACGGAATAGACATAGAAGATTCCAATAACACGGTGATCACACGATGCCACATTGACACAGGAGATGATGCAATTTGTCCCAAGACATCAAACGGGCCATTGTACAACTTGACTGCAACGGATTGCTGGATTCGGACTAAATCTTCTGCGATCAAGTTCGGGAGTGCTAGCTGGTTCGACTTCAAAGGGCTGGTCTTTGACAACATTACCATCGTGGATTCTCACAGGGGGCTTGGATTCCAGATGCGGGATGGAGGTAATTCTTTAGGGAGATTCATTGATCTTGGTAGAGAATTTTGTTAAGTATCATAACTCAAATCACTCATGAGTCAGGAACTTGGCAAGAAGACAATGCTCATTCCCTGCAGGTTAAAAGCAGGGTGACTTGATCCAGCAACAGTAGTTAGCTGAAGGGTTAATTCACTAGTCCATGCAATGATCTAACAAATTCATGAGTGTAGCCTTAAATTAATCAGGGTGGGAGTGCTTCAAATTCATATTCCATGAATGCTAAACCTTGCTTGTGCTGTGGATACAGATGGACTGAGAACTCTATTTGTCTCTACCATTACTATAAGGAGCCCATATGGGCTTTCTAAGATAGCTCCACACTGTCATTTACCAATACCAAACCTTCTCTTCTGCAGGAAATGTGAGTGACGTCGTCTTCTCCAACATGAACATCAGCACAAGGTACTACCACCCATCATGGTGGGGGAGAGCAGAGCCCATCTACGTGACAACATGCCCAAGAGACTCGACTTCAAAGAAGGGCTACATATCGAACCTGCTCTTCGTCAACATAACAGCACACTCAGAGAATGGAGTCTTCTTATCAGGCTGCAAAGGCGGAATGCTCAGCAACCTGAGGTTCGTAAACGTGAACTTCACTTACAGAAGGTGGACCAACTTCGACGGCGGGTTGATAGACTACAGACCGGGATGCCAGGGGCTCGTGAAGCATGGCGCGGCAGGGATGATCATGGAGCACATTCAGGGCTTGGAGGTTGAGAATGTGAGCATGAGATGGGCTAGTGGTGGTGCCAAAGAGGAATGGGATAACCCACTGGAGTTTAGACCTTCTAGTGTTAATAACGTCTCTTTCCTCAATTTCCATTCCGGTGTCTATGCACAGTGAGACGGAGAAATGTGAAATTGGGCATTTGGATTTTGGGGTATACCTTGTTCTTGGAGGCATGAGACCTTCAATTAATGAACACAACAGGCAAATCATATTCTTTTTCACAAACAGTGTTTGTCATCAGTATTTTCCCATTTTCGTCCCTCAACTGTGGAAAATGGTTCACTTTCAAGTTCTTCTTGCATGCTTCTTTGGGACATATTCATATTCAAAATATATGTCACGTTGACGGTGCATTCTGAATTTTAGGTGTATGCAAATCACAACTATTCGACTGTAAATAATCAATAATAAGTTTGCAAATTGTGACATTGGGTAGGTTAATTGCAGGTTGCATTATGTTTGTTAGGGGAATGAGTCAGGTGGATAAATTTACTTACGAGGCGGCCTATACTTAGTTCTTGATGATTCCAGTGATCTCTTTACATTAAACGATTAGAACGAATATGGATGAAATTATTTTCTCTACACAAGTTTATGGTAAATCATTTTGAGAAAACAAATAGTCAAATGACCATTTTGTATAAGTATCGAAGTTAAGAGATCATTTTGACTATTAAATATTTATCGACTAGGTCCTGTAGGCCGAGCTATAGCAGTGGTCTTCGGGACATGATTTTGATCAATGGCGGCAGCTTCATTCTGCGACAATTTCAGTCGCCTGCGCCCTTTCGTCCGGCAACTAACGGTTTCTACCTCCTTGACTCCGGCGGTGCCGCCATCAAGCTTAGCTTCGCTATGCGCTCAGGGCCACCTGCAGGCCGCTTTGCTGGAAATGGCTGTGCAAGGCCCTCTAACGAAGTTCGACGGCTACAATTCGCTGCTAAACGAGTGCGTCAATAAACGAGCCTTGAGGGAAGGCCAAAGGGTGCATGCCCAAATGATCAAATGTCGTTATCTTCCACCGGTGTACTTGAGGACCAGGCTTATAGTGTTTTATACCAAGTGCAATTGTCTGAGCGATGCCAGACATGTGTTCGACGAAATGCCTGAGAGGAATGTCGTTTCTTGGACTGCCATGATTTCTGCGTATTCTCAGAAAGGACTGGCCTCGGATGCATTGAGCCTCTTTCGCCACATGCTGCCATCAGGTAATTGTCATCATTGTGTTACCTAAATTATTGGAAAGAAAACTCAGATAGAGATATTGGCTATAATGATGTGCCTTCACCATTGTTTGCGTGAACGAGTCCCATTTGTCAAAGTTAATACATTTTTATTGGGGTTTCTCTTCTTGTTGATACCAGAAAGCAATTGATGCAGGCACAGAGCCAAATGAGTTCACTTTTGCATCAGTCCTTACCTCCTGCACAGGCACCTCTGGGTTGGAGCTAGGAAGGCAGATACATTCACTGATAATCAGGACCAGTTATGATTCTCACATTTTTGTTGGGAGCTCACTTCTGGATATGTATGCGAAAGCTGGTAGAATCCCCGAAGCTCGTGAAGTTTTCGAGTGTTTGCCAGAAAGAGACGTTGTATCTTGTACTGCAATCATTTCTGGCTGTGCGCAACAGGGTCTGGACGAAGAAGCACTGGAGCTCTTCCGAAGATTACAAACGGAAGGAATGGAGTCAAATTATGTCACCTATGCAAGCGTATTAACTGCATTATCTGGACTTGCTGCTCTCGATCTTGGGAAACAGGTTCATAACCATGTCCTTAGGCGTGAATTGCCCTTCTATATCGTTCTCCAGAATTCCATGATCGATATGTACTCCAAATGTGGAAACCTTGGTTACTCGAGAAGAATCTTTGATACCATGATCGAGAGAACTGTCATGACATGGAATGCAATGCTTGGAGGGTATAGTAAGCATGGGTTGGGAAGAGAAGTGGTCGATCTTTTCGAGTTGATGACAGCTGAAAATAAAGTCAAACCCGACAGTGTCACTCTGCTGGCTGTCCTATCTGGGTGCAGCCATGGAGGGATGGAAGATAAAGGCTTGGAGATATTCGACAAGATGTCGAATGGAAGTTATGGAATTCAGCCAGAGAGCGAGCATTATGGATGTGTTGTTGACCTGCTTGGCCGAACAGGCCGAGTGGAAGACGCTTTTCAGTTCATCAACAAGATTCCTTTCAAACCAACAGCTGCCATTTGGGGATCGCTCTTGGGTGCTTGTAGGGTTCACTCGAACGTCGATATCGGCCATTTCGTGGGTCGCCAATTGCTACAATTAGAGCCCGAGAATGCTGGGAACTATGTTATACTCTCTAATCTGTATGCTTCTGCTGGTAGATGGGAACAAGTGACAGAAGTGAGGGAATTAATGATGGAGAAAGCTGTGATGAAGGAGCCAGGTAAAAGCTTGATTGAAATTCAGCAGACATTGCATACTTTCTACGCAAGCGATCGTTGCCATCCAAGGAGGGAAGAAGTAGTGGCCAAAGTGAAGCAGATGTCGACCGAGTTCAAGGAAGCCGGCTATGTTCCTGATCTGAGCTGCGTTCTCTATGATGTGGATGATGAACAGAAGGAGAAAATCCTTTTGGGCCACAGTGAGAAACTGGCTTTGGCTTTTGGGTTGATGGCTACTGCTTCTCAGCAAGTGCCCATCCGTGTGATAAAGAACCTCAGGATTTGTGTTGATTGCCACAATTTCGCCAAGTTTGCATCGAGGCTTTATGGCAGAGAAGTGTCGTTGAGGGACAAAACTCGGTTCCATCGTGTTGTTGGTGGAACTTGTTCGTGTGGGGATTACTGGTGACTGTTCTGATGTGAGATTTTTGTACCAAGATACATTGTTTGGTTGTTGAGTTTTAGATGATCCTTTTGTATAGGGGTGTAACTGGGTTGGAAAGTAACGATTTTTCATGATTAGGGTATAAAAACTGTAAGTTATGTTAGGGCCAAATTTTATAGTCGATTCTTTCTGATTTATTTACTTTTTTATCTTATCTAACCCTACTTGGGGTTGGATTGGTTGGGTCACCAAAATTGAAAATTCATCTATTTCAACATCGAAATGATTTTTTTTATTATAATTGATCACTCTTATTCAGAGGAAAGAACCAGGTCAAGTACAAGATGAAAATACTTCTAAGAAGTTGAACCTCGAAAAAGAACGAGGCGATAAAATCAGAGCAATATAATTTTTTTTTTTATTATGGTGAAACATCGAAATGATTTTAAGTTTAACAAAATGCAATATGATGTTTTGAGGTGAGAAACTAAGTGATTTTGTTCTAAAAAAATTAATTTGAATTTATGTCGAAGGATTGCTTGTTATTGTTCGTAGTTCTTACCATCAACCTAAAACCGGATGGGTCAAATCAAACTAACCAATAACCCTCCAAACTCGTAGTATGACTACGTTGTCACTTGTCATAGAACTAAACCTGAAAATCTGATCAATCTTCAACTCAATATTCGAGTCGAGTAACTTGGTCAACCCATAATCTGATTGTACATATCCTAATTAGGTTGAACCTGACCCGAGCCCGAGCATTGGCCAAATTTAGCCTCTGCGTGGAAGCCTGGAACTTGCATCCCAAAACGGCAGCGTCTCCTTCTCAGAAGTCCGTCATTTTCTGGCATTTCTACAAAATCGAAAAGCAAACCGATCGCAGAAATCCTCTCTCTCACACTCTCCACCCAAAGAAACGCAAAGGGGCAAACGAACGGGGGAAATGCCTAAGCTGCAACCCTTCACGACGGCGTCGAGCATGCTCCGCCAACGGCTGGCCGGCTCCCTCCGCACGCGGAGCGGCGGCGCTTCGGGATGGACGACCCCAGGGCACGAGGAGCGGCCCAAGGGTTACCTATTCAACAGGACGCCGCCACCGCCGGGACAGTCGCGCAAGTGGGAGGACTGGGAGCTCCCTTGCTACCTCACCAGCTTCCTCACCATCGTCATCCTCGGCGTCGGGCTCAACGCCAAGCCCGATCTCACCATCGAGACCTGGGCGCACCAGAAGGCCCTCGAGCGCCTCGAGATGGAGAAATTGGCTGCCGCTGAATCCGATTGAAACAGAAGAAAAGGGGAAATGGGGTTTCCTGTTGGGGTGTGAAATCTTCCCTCAGCGATCCATCGAGACAGTGGTTCGTTTGGTTTTATGTTTAGTTGTGTTGATAATGTGTAGCCGAGTAATAAAAGTTTTCGGAACCTTTGATTTTGACGACAATTGGGGGCTTTCTTCTGGAGCTCTTTTGCTCAAGTGTTACATTTACTTTTGGACCTGATTTTTGGGCATTATAAGTTTCGAAAGATATGTTATTTACTTATGAATGTTTCCCATCTAATGGCATTGCTAATGCTGCTGAATCTGGTTTATCTGGGTTCGATTTGTCTTTCAATTGGTGAAATAAGGCTGCTTTCTTATCGCTGATTTACTTGTTTTTGAATGGTGTTGTATGGTAAATATATTTCAATTGTGGCATAAGGTCCATGGCGAAAGACAACCTGATCCTGTTTTGGGGTAATTGATGCTGGTTTTGTGACTTGCAGTTTGTTTCTTAGGTGAACCTAACCAGCTTAAGATGCTTGCCTTTGCCGTGCTTGTTGCTTTAGATTGTTGCCTTGTCATGGACATCAATCATGGCTATGAATTAAGCTGACATGGAGCTTGTTTGTATCTGTCTTCGGCCAACTTACTGGTAGAGGTTCCTTTTAAAAGTACTAGTTAACTTTAGATAATATTATGTGATGGCTTGAACATTGGTATACTGGTGGTATACCTCTGGATGATAAATTCTAGTGCAGCTACTTTCTTACCATTTTGATTTCTACTCAGCATCCTTTGAGTTTAATGTTCTACTCGTCGGCTATGTGGTACATGCATACTGTTTTAGTAAAAAGACTGGGTAAAGCTCTAATCTCTTGGTCGTCTGTGACTCTTGGCACTCATTTTGTCTTCTGAAGTGAGAAACTTCAGTGCAAGTACTGTGTTCCCAGTTCGATGATGACTTAGAGTCCTTTGACTTTAGTATTCCGCTGGGTTATAATATGCTATACACATACTGGTTAAGGTAGTTAGACTCAGTAAAGCTAGAATCTGTGATCTTCGTTTCTCTGTAGCTCCTGGCAATCATTTTGAGGCTTTCCAAGGATACAAGCACATTTTGGATTTACTTACCCTGGCTTCTGAATTTACCAAAGTATTAGCATGATTGCTATATCTGTGTGGTGACTGGTCGGAGCTGGATAAAGGCAACCCTGTTTTGGGAATGGGATAATCGCTATAAATGCTGTGAGGTGAAAATGCACGCATAATTGAGTTTGGAATGCAGCACAGCATGTTCAATGATCTTTTCTGAAGTGTATTGTATAGGGTTCATGAGTATTCGAGTTCAAGTTAGATTGAGAATTCTTTGGAGGGTTTATAGTTTATAGTCACTTTCAGAATATCCAGTTCACGTGCGACGTTTTTCCAGTCAGGTGTGTGTACCCTACTTTGGCTTTGCTTGGGGTCAAATGATTTTAATGGCTGTCTAGTATGGTTCTGCAAATTTCTCCAGAAGGGTCATTTGCTACATGTGGAATGCTTGCAGAGTGCTAATATGATTCTTATGGTGTAGCTGATTAGGTTTCAACCTAGACTCAGTTTGAGTTAATTAGGCTTTTAGAAACCAGTTTCATACATTGTTTGAATTCATTTTCGCTTTATCCGTGCATTGTGATTGTTGATCGCGTCCATGTTTTATACTTGAATTCCGTTCTGGCTCGGAGATTCTAGTCCTCCAATCAAACTAGTATGCAAGTTATAATTTGTGTTGGCATATTGCAGTAAGCTCGTACGATTGTGCCTTTTTCTCTTCTTACTTTGCAGCTGGTTTTTGCACTGAATATCTGCTCGTGTTTTAACCAGCACTTGCATGGTCGTTTTTATGTGCGAAGGTATGTTACTGGTTTTACTATCCTTAATTTTCTATTTAGGTGGTTTAGCTTAGGTGACATAACACTTATCTGCTGGTAGCCTGGAAACTCCAAAGATATTGATGCAGGAAGTGTGTTGTTACTCTGGACAGCTGAGCTGAGAGAACTTTTCTGGTTTCATTTTACCTTGAAAAGAATACAAATTATATCATATGATTTTGCGTTTTTTGCCCTTCTACAGCAAAAGGAAAATGTTTCTAGATTTTACAGATTTAGTTATTATGTTTCAGCATTACCAAAAAAAAAAAAAAAAAAATATTCGTCGTCGATTTTCCGAACAGTCGGGCCGCAATCTTCTTTCTTACTGCTCCAACACTGAATTGGGCTTTTTTGGGGTCTTCACTGCAGCAGCTGGGCCTGTTCATTTGGTAACTTGTGCAATCATATTGCCGATGGAAGTCGCTTCCTCCTTAGCCATCTCCACCATGGAATCCTGCATTTCCCCACAAAATTCTAAGTTGCAAAGAAAGGCATTACATCTTTTTCACAATAACTTTTACAGCATATGTTCATGCTCATTACGTAAACATGCATTTGCTTATTATGCCTACTCAATCGATCAACCACCAACCGCACGATCATGGTGCCCACGAGAGTAAATGTATCACAATCATTCGTGAATTGTCGGGGCACTATAACCGTCTGATTGCTACGATCTTGTTCCAACTTCAACAAAACAGACAAAATTCCCAGAATTGCAATGTAATATCGACTAAAATTCTTCGGAGAAATCATTTTGCAATTATAACACTTACATGGGTAGACAACAATCTTATAATTGTTCTTTTACTCGATTCTTGAAACTCTCCCGCAATCAGTACCTCATCCAATATGTAGTAAGCCTGCATTTCCCAACAAATAATTTTACAGTCAAGAACAATACATCAAATCTCTTTACACTAACCCAAATAAAGATCAAGATGCAATGTGATGTGTACCTTGTGGAAATTGAAGATCAAGTCCAATTCACACACCTACGTTAGATCAAAGAAATCAAACCTGATCAGTATATTCTTCTTTGTGTTTTTTAGCGTTTTAATTTATCAAATTGTTTTATCATACAACAAAGAGCAATCACGCAACTCTTGACTTTCCCGAGATCCGCTCATTGTAATACTTATGAATGACCGAACAATGTATGGGCCCAATGTATCAAAACTGGTACAAAAGGATGCTTACGCTGCCAAAATAGCGATCAAGAATCTCGACAAAGTGATGAATGATGTCCAAAACCTCTAGTTCATTGTCCGCCTCGTCAATGCACATGCAGAAATACAATCCTGCATACCTACGAAAACCGATATACATATATTTCAAACAATTTATAAGTTCTAACAAAAAAAAAACGTCAAATTTACAAATTATAGCAAATTAATTACCGTCTATATACAACTCTGTGTCCTCTCCATTCCACAAAGTTGCAGAGCTTGGGGCCTCGATTCAACACGATTCCACTCAACTCCCTAATTACCTTGGATCTTTCCTTCTGGGAATAAGGGGAGTACCATTTTGTCAACCTCACTTTGCCTTGACGGCTGATGAGAAGCACGAAATGAATCTGCAATTTGATTAATTTGTGTACGATTAGCTATGGAGTTAATCAATAAGTTGATTGAAAGAAGATAAATAATTGAACAAACCATTTGGCTTGTAAGTAAGCTGGGGCAAAAAAATTGGCCCCAAATCAAAGCTTTACAGTGATACAAAATCCCCTCCTCTTGTGTGGTGGGGCTATTCTTCCCTTTCAATCCCTCCTTTTTCGCCTATAAAAGTTGTTTTATTGACAACAACCAAGGATAATTATAGTTGTTATTGTTTTTTTTCTTCTTTTTCATATTTTATGGTGGTTAATATGATGTTTTACCTCGAATAGTTCAAATTATGCGACTACAATGTTTCTTGACAATACACGAGTCTCTCAAGGTAAGGTTAAGCAGTTGAGCCAAACAGCTTACCAAGGTCGCTTTAATGCCCATCATTTCTTTTACAATATCAATTTTAACCTGAGTTCCGAATATTTTTAAATGGGTGATTTCAATCTCAAAATTCTGCCAAAAGATAAATTCCCTAATAATTAAAGGGGGCAAAAGAGTTGATTTTCAAAGAGCTAAGTTGTCATTTTGACTCTTTTTTTTCTTCTTTTTCACGGGGAGATTGGTTGACTTGTAGACTTCATACGTTTTCAACAAGCTGATCATAAACAATAATGCAAATCTGAACATGCATACTGCAATACATCAACAGACTTTCTGTGGAGCATATATATATATACAAATCTAAAAAAACCAGTGGGTTCAGATCTAATTCTTGGATTGATTCCGAAAGGAAAAAGTGATTGCTTCTAAGAAAAGGTAGATCCAGCCATGCCCTAGACTCCAAGTCTGATCTATCAGAGCATTATCATGCACTCACTGGTTTTCCATAGAAGCCTGCTGGAGGGGCTAAAGGGCAACCGGAATGTGATATGCTCGTTTTATAGGACCTTTGGCTAGCTTGATACATCTTGGGGGTGTAGCTCATATGGTAGAGCGCTCGCTTCGCATGCGAGAGGCACGGGGTTCGATTCCCCGCACCTCCATTAGTTTTTAACAAATTTATGATATCAATCATAAATTAGTTTTTTTTAACAAATTTATGATATCAATCATAAATTAGCTTGATTAATTTTATATGTAAATTCTTTGAGAGGCAAATACTAGTCAATTTATCAATGAGTAGTTTTAACCCCTTTTATATTAGCCATACTACTAACACTAGCTTTTACTCGGGCTTTGGGCGAATGAGTTTTGCTTTATCCTTTACATTTGGTTAATTTATAATTATATTTAAAATATTTATTCGACCCGTTGGTCGGATGAATTTTATTTTATCAAATGCAAATACTTGTCAACTTATCGATACGTAGTTTGAACATTTTATATTAGCCATACTACTAACACTAGCTTTTACTCGGTCTTTGGCCGAATGACTGAATGAGTTTTGCTTTATCTTTTACAATGGTTAATTTATAATTATATTTAAAATATTTACTCGACTCGTTGGTCGGATGACTTTTATTTTGATCAATTTCTTCACGTTTTTAAATAATTTGAGATTTTATAAAATAGTTAATTCATTATTTCAAAGTAATCTTTATCGTATTTGTTGAGGCAAATACTTGTCAACTTATCAATGAGTAGTTTGAACCCTTTTATATTAGCCATACTACTAACACTAGCTTTTACTCGGCCTTTGGCCGAATGAGTTTTGCTGTATCCTTTATATTTGATTAATTTATAATTATATTTAAAATATTTACTCGACCCGTTGGTCGGATGAATTTTATTTTATCAAATGCAAATACTTGTCAACTTATCGATACGTAGTTTGAACATTTTATATTAGCTATACTACTAACACTAGCTTTTACTCGGCCTTTGGCCGAATGAGTTTTGCTTTATCCTTTACAATGGTTAATTTATAATTATATTTAAAATATTTACTCGACTCATTGGTCGGATGACTTTTATTTTATTTTATTTTGATCAATTTCTTCACGTTTTTAAATAATTTGAGATTTTATAAAATAGTTAATTCATTATTTCAAAGTAATCTTTATCGTATTTGTTGATTATGACATTAGCTATAATTAGTTAATATGTATTTTCTTATGAAGTCGTCTTAGTTTACTGTTATGTTTTTTTCATATCTAAAAAGAAATTTATGGACTTTTTATTATCGGATATGAATTTGGAGCTGGAAGGAAATATATGTCATCTAGAATTGGTAGAAATTGAAGGTATAAAAAATCAAGAGAATAACGAAAAGAATATGTCTAGAAATCTCAAATATGGAAGAACACGAAAAAATAATATTTATTGTATAAATTATTATAATTTAGTGTATAGACTTGTTTTAATAATAAGTGGGGCTGTTAAGTGGTAGATACTACTGCACGTACAAAAGTTAAGAAAAATTAAACATTAAAAACATTAAATTGTACTCTACCAATGCAATCTTTGACTTTTCATGTGGAGTTAGTAGCACAAATTGTCACTCGATTATTCAATTTTCTCAAATCTATCCCTCTATTATTTTTTACATCAAACATGCTCTCGAAATGTATAGTATATACGTATTATCAAATTAAATTTAGCCCCTTCTTCTAGCTTATCTTCTCCATATGCAACTCCCAATAATTAATAGACACAATTCCATCCTCCATTTCTTGCGCTTTCTCTTCCTTCGACCCAACAATAATTAAACACAAAAACTTGTCTGTCATGAAAGAAACTTGTAGACCGACTTTTGAATTTCAACCACTCTATGAAATTCCACAATTATTGATCGATTTGACTCAATCATAAAAATTGGAACCCAATTTTTTTAGAATATATGGATTTCAAAGTATCAAAGGTTGTCAACCCGGTTTAGCCCGTTGGCCTGGTCGATTAAGTGGGTTGAGGGTTAATGGTCCAATCGTTTTAGTCAACTTTTACCCAGATATATGAAAAAGTCATTATATTGTTCATATATTTATAAATTATATAAAATCTCATCTACATACGGATAATATTCTTCCTCCCCTGGACAATCTACATTTGTTTCTCTATCTGCTACTGTCCGTTATCCTCATTCGAGCTCCTAAAAAGCACTCCAACAACATGTATTCATGACGGGATGAAGGTCGCACTCCTATGGCGGCGGTGTGTGTCAGATGTGGAATTAATGAGAAACGGCCAAGTGGGAATTGCACGTGGGGGTGTTTGCGAGGGAAGGCAATATGTGATGCAAGGCGAGTTCTCCCAATAGTCTCTTTGTCTACAAAATTGGCTCGACGTATTTAGCTTACCAATTTGTGGAGCGGGAGCTAGAACGGGAGCGTAAGAGCGTATATTCTTCGAGAATTACAATTTGAGTGCGCCGAAAGAGCGTGAATATTATATTATTATAATTGATATATGATTTAACTTACTAACATGTTTCGGTCAAAATATTAAAACAATGCAGCGAAAAAATAAAAATAAAATCATTTTAGTGGGATAATAGCTTTAAATAATTTGATTAGGTCCGAAAAAGGAACATACTTCAAAATTTGAGTAGAAACCCACCAGAGTTTACGAAAATGCTTTTAGTTTATTTTTTTAAGGAAAAGAGAAATGAATGCATTGTTTATCCACCCCCATGCACTCAATTAGTTGTTAATAAAAGAGTCTATATCTTCTTCTTCCCATTTGATTCTTTGTTTCCTAAACCGACGCTGGAGATCTCCTATAGATGTACCAAATTGGCAAATTCTATATCATCAGTCATCTAACTAACCACATATCATTTTATTTAGCCCCAAGCCCGTGATTTGATTATCTATTTCACAGTGCCCATTCACGAACTCGTGGTGTATCCTTTTCGTCTTTGCTCTCCAGATCTCTGACAGCATCACATGTATTCCTTTCTCCCACGAAGAAGCGGGTCATTGTCTTCGAGCCAAAGCTGTTGATTTGACTATAACTTGTTTCATTTTACTTTGTTCATAGAGATAAAAATCTCTCTAATAAGTGATCTATGAAATATAATTTGTGAACTTTGATTTTCGATACTCTGATTTTTAGTTTGAGCTACAATTTTTGGGTTTTGGAAGTTTGTAGTTTCTGTAAAATAATTGTGAAGCAAAAATATCATTCGTACTTTCGTTCTTGTTGTAGGAAAGTACACTGTGAAGTCAGGGTACCACCTCATTTCCGATGAGCGGGCTGAAATGTTCAATACCCTGCCTCCCCACCTGGATTCTAGTTATGGAAAGTTATGTGGAGTTTGCCAGTTCCCCCGAAGCTGCGTGTGTTCCTGTGGAGGGTTGTGCGAGGATTCCTCCCTTGCCTGGCTGTTTTGCACGCCAAAACCCTCTGTGATTCTTCTGAATGTCCTGTTTGTTCTGAAGCAATAGAATCTATCTCCCACTGCTTATTTGATTGCAGGGTTGCTCGTGGCGTCTGGGACTTAGCGGGGAAAGCTCGACTCCGAAGGAATTAGCTGCTTTACCTGCTGACGAGGCTTGGGCGCAAGTGCTGACCTCCAGACAGCTTAGCAAACTGGAGATGGCCGAGCTTGTTTTCCTATCCTGGAGAATATGGAAAGCACGGTGCTGGGCCTGCTATGATCGCATCCAATACCTCCCCGACCCTTTACTCCGACAGTTTAGACCACAAAGGGATGAATGGGTAGAAGCTACATCAACCCAGCCAAACGGTGCACAGGCCCGGCTCCGGCCACCACCCCAGCAGCTCACCCCTTCATGCCCTCCAAGTGGCCTTTTAGTGCGATTTGATGGAGGTACTCGTCAGGATGTCGGTGGTAGCGTCGGGTTTGTTGGCTTTGCATCATCAGGGGCAATCTCTTGTGCATACGGTAAGTACTATGCTGGCTTATTCGACCCCTTTATCATGGAACTTTTGGCCTTAAGAGATTCAATGGATTGGTGCTTAACTCGGGGTATCTCCTCTGTTTGTTTTAGTGGGGATTCGCAACTGGTGATTCGACACGTATCGGAGGAGCGACAAGATCATAATCGTGGCGGGGCGATTCTGGAAGAAATCCGACTGATGATAGCATCTTTCGCGTTTATTAGTTTCGTTTTTTCTCCTCGTAGAACTAACAGGGCTGCCCATTGCGTGGCGAAAACAACTCTTGCATCGGCTAATCAGCATTTGGCTGATTTCCGTTATTTCTTTTTAATTCTCTGTAATTCCCTATC